CAGTGGTGTATCGAGAGAAGAACGGAACAGTATTGGTAGAAATAAAAATGGCAATTCAAATAATCCGCGAACGGTTTCAGGACTTTTTACGAGTGCAACGGACAATAAATGCGTGTTCTGTGCCAATAATACGCATAATACATTTAACTGTAGAAATAAATCACTGACAATTGAACAAAAAAGGAACATTTTAAAACGAAATTCGCGATGTTATAAATGTACTAAGCCAAATCGTACCGCTCGTGATTGCAAAAACAATAAGTTAATGTGTCAAAACTGTAAAGGTAGACATTGTACGGTGATGTGCGATCCGGACTACAAAAAACATTTAAACGAAAAGAGAAATACGGGAAATAACGCGAAAGACTCTAATACTAATGGTAACGCAAATAGTACAAAAAATAATGAACAATCGGCAGCATTAATAGCAAATGGGTATTACAACGACGTACTGCTACAAACGGCGTGTACCTTTATTTCGCCAACGAATGAATTAAAACAGGATGAAATGTTTATACGCATAGTATTCGATGGAGGAAGTCAGTTAACATTTATCAGGGAAAAAAATTAAAAATTGTGGGTACACATAAATTATCTATTATTCCATTTGGCTCATCCGATAAAGGCCCGCAGCAAAATTGTAATAAAGTTGAGTTTTATTTGCGAAGCCAATATACAAAACAATACATAAAACTGTATGCGATCGAAGTTCCCGAAATATGTTTTGATGCTTTAAGTAGCCCGCCTACAAATATTAGAAAATTAAAAGAATTTGAATTAGCTGACGCAAGACCGGAAGGAAGAGAACCTGTTAAGGGAATATCTGTGTTGATAGGAGCGGATAACTATTGGAAATTAGTAACCGGTGAAACAGAAAAAATAACCACGGAGTTAACGGCTGTAAATACTATGCTAGGGTGGACGTTACATGGGCCTACTTCTATAGATTGTTATAGCGTAAATACCAATATAATTACTGTTTTGCATACAAATGTTCAAGAAGAGCCATTCAGTTTGAAGCATTTTTGGGAGTTAGAAACTATAGGCATAGATAACCCTGACAATTCAAATAGTAAATTAAATGAAAATTTTACAAGAAAGTTTTGTGAAACGAATATTAGATTTCAGAATAGTAGATATGAAATAGAGTTACCCTGGAAAGTAGAAAACTTTAAGTTAAATGATAATTATGATCAAGCACTAGCGAGAGTAAAAAATTTAACAAGAAATCTATCTAAAAATTCTAAGCTACTTGAATATGATAATGCAGTTCGAGATTATTTATATACAGGGTGTGCTGAAACGGCACCGGAGACTCAAATGGTGGGTAGGACTTACTTCATGCCGCATTGACCAGTTTATAGAGACGATAAGGATACTACGAAAATCCGAGTTGTTTTCGATGCATCAGCGCATGCGCCTGGTTTTGCATCTTTGAATGAAAGCTTGTTATGTGGTGACAATTTGATTCTAGATTTAATTAAGATATTACTTAATTTTAGAGTTGGTTGTATTGGGTTATGTGCAGATATAGAAAAAGCGTTTTTACAAATTTCGTTATCAGAAAAGGATAGGGATTCTCACAGTTTTCTATGGTATGAAACCGAAATTAAAAACGAAGAAAATTTACCAAATTTAGTCAGTTATCGAATGAAACGTGTAACATTTGGGGTCACTACAAGCCCATTTCTTTTAGCGTCTACAATACTTAAGCATTTAAATGAACAAGCGATAGAGTATAGTCAAACCTGTGAAATATTAAAAGAATCGTTTTATGTAGATGATTTTGTATTTGCCGCAGAAAGTGTAGATCAAGCTTTAAAAATATTTGATGAATCTGTCAAAATTATGAATACTGCGCAAATGAACCTACGAAAGTGGATTAATAATAACGATTACGTAAGAAATATATTCAAAGAAAAAAATGTACACAAGGTAGCTATTTGCCCAAAAATACTAGGTGTTTTCTGGTATATCTTACAGGACGAGTTGAGAATAAGTTTAGACTCAGTAATTAATTGCGTCATTGACAATAATGATATTACAAAACGAAATATTTTAAAAATGGTTTCAAAGATATACGATCCCTTAGGATTTCTAGGCCCATACACCATCATACCAAAAATATTGTTACAAACCATTTGTAAGGGAAAATATGATTGGGACAGTATGTTACCACAAGATATTCAAAGGGAATGGAACATTTGGATTAAAGATATAAAACTTTTGAACGATTTAACTTTTCCAAGATGCGTAGTAAAAAATCAGCAAATACCAGTACAGTTACACATTTTTGCTGACGCCAGCGCAAAAGCATATGGAGCTGTCGCGTACATAAGGATATGTGAAAATAATATTAATCATTCCAACATTTTTATGTCAAAATCCAAAGTTGCGCCAATAAAGCAGAGTGAAGATGAACTTTCTTTACCCAGGTTGGAACTAACGGCAGCTGTTTGTGCTGCAAGATTAAAAAACTACATAATGAAAAATGTCAAACTGAATGTGAAATCCATATATTTATGGACGGATTCCAAGATCACACTGCGTTGGATTATAGAAAAACCAGAAAGGTGGAAACCATATGTTGCGAATAGAGTCAGAGAAATTCAGTCACTGACACTGTGGAGATATTGCCCAGGACAAGACAACCCTGCAGATTTAGTGAGGAGAGGTATTAAAGCAAATAAATTAATAACCTCAACATTGTGGAAATTTGGTCCTTATTTTTAACGTGAATCGGAAGAAAGTTGGCCCGAAGATGACGACGAAATGATGGATGATTATCAAGGAAATTTTGTATTGAATACACAAACCATGGAAGAGATACACGATCCCTTATTTGATTTAAACAGATATAGTAGCATAAACAAAATTCTTAGAGTAACAAGTTATGTTTTACGATTTATTAACAACGTAAAATTTAAACAAAAAATTGTTGGCAATTTGGGTGTAGAAGAACTGAAAAGATCCGAAGTACATTGGCTAAAATATATTCAAAATAAAGAATTCCCAGCTGAAACCAAGTCGCTGAAAAATAATGAACTTTTACCTAGGACTTCTGCTATTTTATCATTGTCACCATTTTTAGACCACGATGGACTAATGCGACTCGGGGGAAGATTACAAGAAAGTGAACTATCTTATGAAACGCAGCACCCAATTATATTACCAGAGTCAAGTCCTTGGATAAACAAGATTATTACTCACACACACGAAATGTTGCGTCATGGAGGTGTAAATATTACTTTAGCGGAAATACGGAAGAAGTACTGGATCCTAAGAGGTAGACAAAAAATTAAATCCATTTTATCGAGATGTGTGACTTGCAAAAAATTTAGAGGAAAACCTGGAGATACCCAATTTGCTCCCTTGCCACGAGAACGAATTTTATCAAGTAGAGCATTTGATGTTATTGGTACCGATTTTGCTGGACCTCTTTATATAAAAGAAAAAGAACAAATAAGAAAGGTTTACGTCATGTTAATAACTTGTGCTGTAACACGCGCAGTGCATTTGGAGTTGGTTCCGAATATATCTACAGAATGTTGTCTGCGAGGTCTGCGTAGATTTATGGCAAGAAGAGGAGTGCCGAGTGTGATTTATTCGGATAATGCCAAATCTTTCAAAAGATCAGCGTTGGAGCTTGAAGAATTTAATACCATATTATTAAGGAGTACAGATATTCAGTCATTTGCTTTGAAAAGTCGAATAACCTGGAAATTTATTGTTGAAAGAGCCGCATGATGGGGCGTATTTTGGGAACGTTTAGTAAAAACCATAAAGGATTCATTGAAATTTAATATAGGTAAAGCCATTCTCGGATTTGACGAATTACAAACGGTGCTGACTGAGGTAGAAGCCATTGTAAATTCCAGACCATTGACGTACATTGATGATGACCCAGACAATATGTGTATCTTAACACCAGAAAAATTTTTGATTGGTGATGCTGTATCCAATATTACCAAAGATATACGTGAGACAGCAATTAAACGTAACGACCTTTTACAAAAATGGAAGGCGCGAGAAATAAGTTTAAATAAATTCTGGAGAAAATGGACTGCGGATTATCTACAGCAATTATGCACAGCCCATCATTCTGATCCGAAAAGAACCACCTCATCTGAAACGGGAGACGTTTTGTCGTATTATTACACGTCCAGAATATGCCACGAACCCTTTGGAAAATGGTTCGCGTTACGAACATTTATCACGGTAGAGACGGAAAAGTGCGTGCTTGTGAAATTAGGGTTCCTAACGGAAAATTGTTGAAACGACCGATCCAACTGTTATATCCGTTAGAATCAGAAACTGAGGGTAAAGTAAGTACTCCGTACTTCGGGGCCCGAGGATTATGTGGAAAATAAAAACGTACGTCAAGAGAGCTCTTTCCCGCGAGACCGATACGGTACGGTAGAGAGTGCCGCTGCTAACAGTAGTGATATAGTGTGCGATTAATAATGTTAGACCGTAAAGACTGTTTGTGTGTTAATTAAATGTTTCATAAATATGTCAATATGTCATAAAAAACTGTTCAGTTAGTTAAACATTCTGTAAAAAACAGAATAAAGTATTTTCACAGGTTTTACAGTGGACCAGTTTTCAGTGCCGTGCAGATGTGTATTTTTAAATCATTTTCGAACTGCCCTTTTTTCTTTACAAAATTGTATTTGTAAGAGTCCCTTGTCCATCAAGAATTTTTTTTTTGGATAAGTTCTGAATCACCCTGTATACACATATACACACATTTATGCATATACACACATGTACACATACACACATATATACACACATACATATGCATACACCCACGTACATATAGTATAGATACAGTATAAATACACTAATAAAATATAATAAATAACAATAATGTAACTATCTGTACTAATAGAATGTTGTTTGTTTTAGTGCTCTCTTAAAGCTAACTAGTGAACGCATATCAAAATATATTGGTGAATGTTAATATATATGTATGTATGTATGTATGTACGTCTTACCTTTGGTTTTCAACTGAACGACTGGAAATGTGTTCGATGCAACTAATTGCGCTGTATGCGTCAATACTATAACAAGAAGCGAGGGTACAGGTCTTTCCAGGAATTTTTTTACTACAGATTTATTTTCTTCTGTTGCCAACATACGACTCCATTTCTCAGGTTTCAACTTAAGAGTCTTTTGAACATAGTTTCCTAAAAATCCCATACGTCGGTCTACTTGATTTGCTTGGTTATCCATTGTTATATTCTAAAACTGATAAAGATATGTTGCATCTGAGACTTTTTAGCGTTTGATGTCTAAGAGTGAAAATGGATACAACCCTGTTACTTTTAAAGGGGCGTAGTTTATCATCCTTGCAAGTGCTAGTTAAAATTTAGTTGAAGCAGTTTGCTACTTGAATGATCAAATTTATATATTTAGCTCTAAAACCTTACTCATTTTGTATGTCTTATACAGGGTGTTAGAAGTTTGACTGCCTTAAATTTAACAGACGATAGAATACATTAAAATAAACAAAAACACCTTATATATGACATGGGTCCTAAACTCAACCATTTCCGAGAAAAAATGATCAAAATCTCCAACTTGATGTACAAAAGTTCGATTAATTAAGGAATATTGACATAACTGCGTGCATAGAACTCCATAAAATACAATATTTATCACTTTTTTAAACTTTTTTATGCTTAATTCTAAAAAATCCTTAGTGTTGTAATAAATTGTGACAACGGTGCGTAGTAACACGAGGTACTAAGCTGTCCACCAATACACAATTCAGTTGGTATCTGGAATTCGACCGCGACGGAGTGTTTTTTGCGTACCACTATTTCCTTTTCTTGAGGTGTTTCTCCTTGCTTTTTCAAAATGTTTACCATACGTGATAATTTTCCAACGAGTGCGCGAAAATTGGATTCGAAGGTGTCATGCGTGCATCGAAAATGGTGATGGAGTGATTTTGAGCATAAGGTGTACTTTGTTTTGTACTTGTGCGTTTAAAAATTACTGAATTTTGCTTTTTGGGAAGTACCTAAATTATTTTTAATATGTATGATTTTTTGGACGACGTGAATCTTTGGGTACTTTAATTACATATTTTTCAAATTCATAATTCGATTAAAAGTTCCTGTTTTAAGAGATTCATAATTACTAAAATTCCAGCTAAAATTTTTAAGCACAACACTATCTTCGGTACTACTACAAAATCGATACACTTTATTTTATTTATTTAAAAACTGGAAAACAATTGTCTTGAAATTTACTAAATGTTTCACAATAGTACATTTTTGTTATCCTAAGACAAATCTGCCGCGTACACCCGTGGTCTGCATCAGCTGTGTAGAGTTAAGTTAAGCGCTGTTGTGATTAAACTCCCCAATATTAATACTCGCTGTGTTTTTAAAATTGTTAATCTTACCTCCCTGTAATATACAACTTTTTTGTTCATTTATGATTACTCTATCTCATGCTGAAATAATGGCAGTCAAACTTGTTACACCCTGTATTTTCCATTTAAGCGTGTGATCTTATCATTCCTTGCTGGGATCGATAAGAGTATTTGAAAGAGAGCACACTGCAAATCGAATTCTCATTTTTAGACATTTGCCTATTTTTACCTAAGTGACACAATTTTTTAAACATTCATAACGCATTTCTTTGGGTGATAAATACCAATTTCTATGGTACTTTTCAATCCGTCATAATGGGTCGGCCATTTTGGATTTAAGAATTTTTGAATTAAAACCATATATTCGTGATTAGCGACTTTGAAAAGAACCGTCAGTCATAACTTTCAAATTTTGAATTATTTTCCGATTTTTACATCCGCCATATCCTTCTTCTATTCAGGAATATTCGGATTTGGACTTCAGATTCGTAATCACCGACCCCAAAAACCTGCGGTAACAAAAGTCATACAAAAATATTGAATAAAAAAATGTGTGACTTAAAGGAGTAACTGGGACACTCGTCAGTAGGTTATTTGCAACCTTTTAAGGGAAAAGTTTATATTATATATTTTTTGGTATGTTGTCTATCAACCTACATTTATATCTTTGGTATTATAGAATATAGGGCTATGGTTTTTCACATTGTTTTATACTAGCATCGTTATTTGATCTTAGGCGTGAAATTAACCCCCTCTTAGGGGTGGGTATGGATTTAATTTGCATATATTTCTTTCCACTCAATGCTCAAAATATTGACACTGACTATCAACAATATAAAGGTGATAATGGTAGGTAATTATATAGATGCCCGCTGGACTAATTTAAAAATGCTTAATTTTCGAGAATTGGGTAAATTGGTGAGAGAATTGAACAGTAAAGATTTTACCATCGATGTACTAAACAGTAGTTATTAAATCTTCATTTGAAGTAATAGGGCATATCTGGCTGCAACTCATAAACTGCTCTCTTGAATCTGGTAAGTTTCCAAGGAACTTGAAAATTAGTCCAATTATTTCAATGGAAAAGGTCAGTAGCACCATCAAGTCCTGGGAATTTAGATTTGTTAATACTTTGCCAAGTTGCCAAAAACTTTTGGAAATGATGGTATATTAACAATTATACAAGTATGTAAATGAAAATAATTTGCTTTATACTAATCAATCGGGTTTTCGTACTAAACATTTCTGTGAATCTGCATTACAATTGATGATCACTGAAAAGGAATTTGGATAGGGGAGATTACACTGTGTCATTTTTTCTAGATTTAAAACGAGCTTTTGAGACCATAGATAGATCAATGTTACTATTAAAACCAAAACCAATATTATAAGATTTCATAGCTCGCAGAAATATTGTGATATGGTTTTACTGTAGGAAATGATGACTTAACTACTGATGTTGAGTTAATAAAATCTGAATTGGAAAATGCACTGTAAGTTATTAACTAATAAGATTTCCTATCTTACTTATTTGTTTCGCAATTTAAGGTCGATATTAAATATTGAACAACTTCCTTGCTTATATCATGCACAAGCTGCATCTCGTCTCAGATATGGTCTGTTTTTGGGAAAATTCTACATTTTCTACACAAGTTTTTATAGCACAGAAGAGATGATTAAGATATATGGTAGGAGTTCCCAGTCATTATTCGTGTAAGGATATTTTTAAAAATTTTAAAATTCTACCTTTACCATGTCTGTTCATATTTGAGATCTGCTTATGTTTTCAAAAATAAAAGTAAATTTGTTTTAAATTATGCACTCCTCAAGTATAATACAAGAGAAAATATGAATTTACATTCGCTAGAATAAGAATAACGTCCAACTCTCCCGACTGTTTAGGTCCTAGGCTATTTAACAGGTTACCTAACCAATTAAAATTGCTGAAAAGTGAATATTTGTTTAGGAAAGCTTTAAATCACTTTTTAATGGAAAAATGTTTTTATTCCATATTGGAATTTTTATCTTTTTTTTTAGTTTTGTAATGTAATTGTAACGTAGTATGTATGTATGTATGTAATGTGTATGTATGTAGTTTTGTAATGTAATGTTTTGTAATGTAATTTGTAATTTTTAGTTTGTAAGTTTTATTTGACTATTCCTATACATATTATGTCTCTGAGGAAAATAAAATATTATTATTATTATCTATGGATTTTAAAAGGTTTATGCTCCTTTAATGGGATTTTGTGACTTACCAATTTGGTAACTGATTGATGCAAACTTTGATATAAAATATCTGCAAAATCATTTAGTAACTCTTTATAGGTAGATTTATTTTGAATAGTCGTACTTTCATCAGTCAATACGACTCTTTTTTTTAGGCGATTATTTGTCTTGCTGGTTCCCAGAAAACTACTTGTCTAGTTATGTTTCCAAAGTACATTCCTCCCAAAGGTATATCTATGGTAACATTTTCTTTTATCAACAAATCTATGCGTAGTTTTATTTGACTGTTCCTATTCATATTGTCTCTGAGGAAAATAAATTATTATTATTATTATCTATGGATTTTAAAAGGTTTATGCTCTTTTAATGGGATTTTGTGACTTACCAATTTGATAACTGATTGACGCAAACTTTGATAAAAAATATCTGCAAAATCATTTAGTAACTCTTCATAGGTAGATTTATTTTGAATAGTCGTACTTTCATCAGTCAATACGACTCTTTTTTTTTAGGCGATTATTTGTCTTGCTGGTTCCCAGAAAACCACTTGTCTAGTTATGTTTCCAAAGTACATTCCTCCCAAAGGTATATCTATGGTAACATTTTGTTTTATCACCTACATCTTCACTCAAATTCTTCATCAAATACCGATTCACTTCTACGACGACTCCCGCAATTTCTAGGTTAAGCTGAACAGGTCATTGAACCATTAATGATTCTCCGTTAGACTTCAGGAATGTGCCCTTTATAATTTCGTAACCGCATAAATGAGTTCATCGTCTCCGTGTCAATGAGTGCTATCAAATTTTCTATACCGTACTTTATCTCGATTCTAGGTAAAACTTTACTTTTTGTGTCCATCTACAACGACCCTATTTGTCCGTGGATCGGGATGACGAGCTCTAGCTCATCTCGATCCTCTATGGTCCTCTATCCCTCCTCGACTGGGGACATTTTTCGTGGCATAAACAGTATACAATCTTCTATTTCTTGCTTCTTACTGAATAGGTTTACTTGCTCATTCTTTTCTGAACATCATCATACCTATCCAATATTATCTGTTTTACTTTTCCATATTCGCCTCCTAAATTGCGGTAATTATTGAACCATCTACTTGCCTCACATCGCAATTGATCCGTTACATATTGTGTCCATTCCGTAGTCGGAATCTCTTCTACCTTGAAGTATTCTTCCAAATTCCTGAAGAACTGTCTAGGATTTTTCCAATCCTCCCCACTAAATGTGGGTAAACTGATTTTTCCCTATTTTCTTGGTTTCCGTAAGACTTCAGTAAATTCTTGTAAAATATTTCCTAAGGCTCCTATCTTCTATCTCTATCCGTTCCTTGGTAACTTTGGTTGGGCGCCACTGGGTTCTAATTATATCATTCCCACAACCCAGAACCGGGGTCGAATCTCTCTTTCATCCCCATTTTTCCATATTTTTTCCAGCCCTTCTCCCGGACCGTCTGGCTCCAGTCGATGGACTCTTGTCTCAGGGTACCTGGTGTTCAGGTCCCACGTTGGGCACCATGTCTCCGTCCCGTATTTTGCGTGTCTCTCGGTAATTCGGGCGGATTTCTCACGTCCTGTTCTTCCTTAGAAAATCCCAGGAACGGAGTAACATTTAAAGACATTGTAAAATCCAAAGATTCATGCTCAACCGTGACAGGCTCCTGATCCTCATTGAACATATACAAGTGGGGAGTATTTTCCATTGTTACATATGTTTCGGCCAAAATTCCTTACATTAATAACACCGTACTTCTATAATAAGAACATACAGCAAGGAATCTCGAGAACAAAGTTACTATCTGTCCACAAAGTTTATTTAGCAAACTGTCAATTCACAAACAAAAGTCACTAATATCGAAAGAAAGCTCAGTACAAAGTAAATAGCAGTACCCAGAGCATAGTTTATCACTAACGATGAAATCCAGCACCCTTATCCATACAGTCTTAATTTCCACTTATCCGGGCAATGTCCAGTGTCCTCGGGGTCACATATGTGTACTCACTTTGTTTAGCAGTTGTGACAGAAGCAAATACTTTTTGAATGCTGGCCAACAGCTACCACTTCTCACCTGTCAGAACTGGGTTGCAAACAAGTTTAGGTTTGTCGAATTTTAACACACGAATCCAATGAACAGTATATTATTAAAAAAAAACGGCATTTATGTTCACGATTACAGTATGTCAGCCTTTCGCTTGACAAAAGTCATATCTATTTTTTTCCGTCGCATATTCTCCGTCTTAGTATCCAGTACCAAGGGTTATTAGTTTTAGTTAGTTATTAGTTTTTTTTAAATCGAGACTATTTATGTAAGTGGGTAGGACATGACGTCATGTTTCTACCCCGTAATTGGTAGGTTCGGTTCCTAACTTCTTATTCGACCTTTAACGCGGATATTTGACTAAAATGTTCCTTGTTATTTTCTATAACAGATTTTTATGAAAAAATCTAAACTAATTTCGTTTTCTAAGGAAAAACCGAAAAACCTACAACAGTACACCAAACTAATCAAAGCATTTGTTGCAGGTAACAACGGGCACATTAATACAAATATGACCAATTAAATTTTATTAAAATTTTACAATTACATATTTCATAAATTTTTTGATTTAGGATTACTTTTTTACAAATCTGAGATTTATATCCCTATTAGCAAAAAAGGTATAATAAATTCTGACGAGACCCAGTATTTACCTGAGAAATTTGGGCATGGGTGTTCAAATTTTACTTTGAACTACTGGTTTATTATTTTTTAACGAAATACATCTTACGCCATTGCGAATACAAAAATTTATAAAATATAGGTATATTTTTTTACTTTAAAATTATTATTAATATATTTATATTACTGTAATAATGTTAGAATTATAATTTTATAGAAACAGCAAATTTTGATACAGTTTTTCCGGACGAAGAGAGTTCTGTGCATGCTATTAAAATTTAGTGATCGAACAGTTACTCTAAAAATTTGTATAGGGCGTACTGTTCACGAAATCTGGACCCTCTTCCATTTGAGACGTTCTGACGTCGCTCCTAAGGGATGGTAAAAGTAGTCAGGTACAGTGCGGTATTTCTAATGCAGTAGTGTGCATGTTAAAATTTTCTGATCGAACAGTTGCTCTAAAAGTTTTTATACAGAAAATGGTAGCCGTCGAAATCTAGGTCCTCTTGTATTTGAGGCGCCTTTACGGGATTGTCATAGAGGCATGATATATTGTTATCCTAAAGCAGGAATTTAGTTCATCGATCAGTTAAATTTTTTTACTGCATTTATATGAACGAATTTTTTGGCAATCTGCAAGCGAAAATGTCTGGTTTCAGAGTATGCAACCTCCAATACGCGAATGCTGCTTCTGCCCAGTACCTAACGACTTGCACATCGATATCTACCCCAATTTGAAGTTTCTGTGTCAAATAAATATGTGGATGGAAATGTGCGGATAACTTCACACAAATGTTCATCTTTTAGAATGTGTAGCTAACAAGTATGTAATTTCACTGTTCAACAAAATAAATGCGGTCTCTTATAATTTTCCTAAATGGTATTATTTTGTTTCTCCAAACTAAACCTAATAAGACCGTTTTCTGAAGCGTGATCGAAAATTTTTAATTTCTCAAATTCTAATTTTTACAGATCGTGAGAGCTCTAAAACAAAATGCTCATTCATTACATTCACAAAGTATGCTATAAATATTATTTTTTGTCCACAAAGTAAAGACCGTAAAATATTAGCTAGTGAAACACTGCTCTAATGTTAAATTTGTTACCTATTATCATTAATTTTTCTGATAATACTCGTACAGGAATATATGGAATTTTTATTTGTAGATGTAATCTTCCTTACTTCCTTTGTAGGTTGACAGATTACGTCCTAACTTTTAATATTCTTAAAAACTGTTTCAATTAAATTCTCAAGGCATCTTTTAAGGAAACCAATTTGACACTAACGTACAAACATTTAATTACTACTTTCATTATACAAGGTGTCACCTAACGAATGTTACATACTTCAAGGGTATAATCTAGAACCCAAATGGTGTCGATTTAACTAAACTTGCTTTAACGAAAAATGTCGCAAAGAAAGTTACAGGGTGTTAGTTTCCTTTTTTTGTTTATTGTTTTCTCCTTAACTCAAAACCCAGTTAACCGATTTGAGCAAAATTTGCTGTTGCTTAGTTTCTCTTCATGAAGTATGCAATGATCATGTTCCTATTAGGTTAAATCATTCAGGGTGTCTATTTTACTACAACCCTTTGTGAATATTCTCTGTAACTTTTTTGTACATTTAAAGTTTTACACGCAACTATCAGAAATAGGTAGAGAATTTTATTCTACACAAAAAATGGATACCTATCAAAAGTCGAAATTATGCTCGGTATTATCAGATATTACAGAAAATATTTATACATACCCCATCTTTTTTGGAATAACTACGTATCCACAATAACATAATTAATAGCATAATAAACTGAAAGGTGGCAATAATAAAAAGTCCAATTTATGTTCTACGTGTCCCCCATTCTCGTTCGTCTAACTTGTACGGCGTCTTTTATTCTATCCCAAAATTCTTCTCTTGTACTAAGTGTTACAGAGTTGTAAACAATTCCTTTCAAATGGCCCCAAAAGTAAACCTCTAATGGATTAAAATCCAGACAGCCAGAAGACCAAGGAAAGTTACTAAGTACCTCGACCAATACAACGATTTGGAAATGCTTGATTTAAATGATCTCTCATGAAATGGCGTAATGAGCAGGAGCACCATCGTGCATGAACCACATTTGTCGTCTAGTATTAATGGGTACTTCTTGGAGAGCCCCAGGAAGTTCTTGCCGAAGGAATTCCAAATAATTTTGACCGTTCAATCTTACTTGTAGGCCCCACAATAAAATTTCCTATAATCCCGGCACCAGACGTTAACCAAAAATTTGTGTTGGAAGAGTGATGCTCTTTTATTGCGTGTAGATTTTCTTCGCTCCACACGTGAGAATTTTTCCAATTAAAACACCTCTAGGGGTAAAACAGCTTCATCTGTAAAGGTAATTCTCCCGAGAAAAATGTGATCTGTGTTACCGGTGTGAAGTTAGCAGCTAAAAGATAGCAGCCAATTTACCGAAAACACCCGAACGTTCATTGGCGTACATATTAAACATATTTACGGAAATCATAAAGAGAAAATTAATAAACACCCTCGTATAGGAATAATCTATTCATAGAAAACATAATAAAACAGCAGGCATTTGGAGACCGTTTCGGGGTTGGAAATCCCACCCTTCTATCGAAAACAAATCACAAAATGATCGCAACGGATACCCGCCCTGGTAATCATACGAGTTGAAGATAATATGGTAGTAAATAACATACTAAGAGCTCATCCACTTGGAGGCCGTCTAAGGGTTGCAAAAACAGCCCTCAAGCCGAATAAAAATTAGAAATAAATGATCGCAATCGTTAGCCACCTTGATAATCACACGACTTGAAGATAATACGGTAGTAAATAACATACCAAGAGCTGATCCACTTGGAGGCCGTCTAAGGGTTGCAAAATCAGCCCTTAAACCGAATAAAAATTAGAAAAAAATGATCGCAATCGTTAGCCACTTTGATAAT